ATCACTTCCAAGAATCAAATACTACACTGGATTTTCAGTGCTCGCCTTTCAAAGCAAAAGCTTTCTATTTTCTTTGCTTTTAAATACAAAGTCTAATTTTTTCTCCCTCCTTTGAAATGACTTGTTCACGTTTATGCCTCAGGCTTCACCTCTCCGTTTATTGATAACATGATCATTCAATATTCTAGACTGCCTTTTCTGGCAAGCTCCAAAGGACCAGAAAAGGCTTGCCATCCATGGAGAAGAGGTTGCTTTCTACCTCTGATACAAAGCAGGGCAAACCCACACTAGTGGTGTGCTTGCTGCTCAGTCCACCTTGGACATCCTCAGACAAGCCTGTGCCTTAATAGCAACTGATGTGCATATTGATCAAAACTTTGGTGGAAAGAAAGATTTCTATGATCAGGATTTCAGCAAATAATATCCTTTAAGCTATATCTAATGTGATGATGAGAATTACAAACTCATTTCTCATTGTTTGGATGAGTAGAGAAAGACAACATTTAAATTTACTTGTAAAAGTAAAAGAAGAAAACAAGTAGTTGTGACATTTAAAATCAAAGAGAGGCAACGAGGTGATCAGACTTAGTTAACAATATTTGAATTTCTTTAGAAACATTTGAAAATCTAATCAAATTCCTATATGCAATCTGTTAAGCCATTCTGGTGAGTAGAGATGGAAAAGACATCTTTTTGAGAGAAAATCCTTTTTTTTATACAGATCTTGTCTGACATGATCTCTATCATTTGACAACCATTTTTGGTGCTGAGGCAGTTGCATTTTGAAAGGAGAGAGGTATACAAATTTGCAGCTCTATTGCAAACTATATGGATAAATTTCAGCATCTTACCTATCACTCCATCAAATCTAAATTTCATGCAGAGAGCTTCCATTGAGACCCATGACTGGATTTTCTAACTCAGGCCTTGAAACATCTGTGTTGCACCATTATGGGTTTGTGTAATAAAATACTTTTAAGGACCACAAAGTACAACTATAATTACTTGGGTTTTTTTTTTTTTTTATTTAAAACTTCAGTAGAAATCTATTTATTTCAGCTTAAAGAGATTTTTGGCTCAATTGCAGTATTTCTGCAAGTGGTGACATTGCATGTTGCAAACTGTGCAGTGCTGACACCAGCAAGTCCAAATGCTGGCCAATACTGTACACCGTAGTAATCCAGGGACAAGGATAGCAAATGAACATGTATTTAATTAAAGTTCTCTGATAGGATTAATCAGCTGACATTTTGCCACATAAATCAATAACTGGATTTTTCTCCCAACAAAAAGCCTAATTTTTGCTGAGGAAGCTGTTCACTCCTAGCTAGAATGTCAATGTTTTTGGCAGATGATTGATTCCCCCTATATTTTATGCATTCAGTTTCAAAATACAAACAACAGATGGCTTTCTCAACAGTCCTAAACCTAGATTTGATTGCTATAATCCACTCAACACTGCTGGAATTCACACCCTGCAAACTTAAGGTGATCTGCGGATCTCTCTTCTACTCCATTGCAAATATAACCTCTTCAAATGCTCAGGTACAGTGTCAAGTGATGGAGACTTCCAAGCAGAGTAGGGTAAGACAAGGAGAATTGTGTCACCTTTAAATCTGCCACAACACTGAAGCAATGGTCACAGCAGCCTCACTCTGGGCAGAACTGTATTAAGAATGAACGGAAGAACCAGACCACTCTCCAGATTAGAGCCCTCATCAGCTGGACCCTCCAATTAGTGCACGTTACTCGGACCTGTTACTTGTTTGAATGGAAATTCTTGGGCTGGGCCATAGAAGATTTGTCTTTTAATTAGGTAATGATAAATCCCTACTTATAGGCTGATAATCTTTTCAATATCTCTTCTTAACTTGGCTCCAACTAGACCAGATGACTCGGATTTACCCTCATCCTTGAGGAGAAAGAGATTTTTCTTCCAGAGATAAAAGCTGCTGTCTGTAGATCATAGGTGATTTGGTGTAAAGATTACTAGTATTTCTTAAGCTGCTTAGAAAATGCACTATGGTTCATTTTTTTTTTTAATTGCCAATAGTGAATAAGTTATTATGTGCTTTCTAGAACAATATCTGAATCTGTATGACAGAAATACTGAAATTAGTAGGAATAGTATCCATGCATAATACCTGTGACAATAAACACGATTTTTTCATGTGGAATGCAGAATTCCACAAAATTCAATAAAAACCTCTTGTAAACAAGAAGAAAATTGGACACTTTATATATGTAATTGAGAGGCCCAGCTGTTTCTTTAGTGAAAGCTGGCACTAGTGAAAGATAACAGGCTGTTAGACTTAGGGAAACTACTCACAGGATCAGTTTAGCTTCAGGAAAATACCAATTTCACCCCAAAACTGATTTTAAGGAGTATCAAATTTACTTAAGAATCAAAGTAAAATCAAGAGAATAATCATGGAAACAAAAGAGGTTAAAAAACAATATTAAAGATTACTCCTTTGAAAAAGTGACTGACATTAACAAGAACTCATATTAAACAACTGAGATAAACAACACTAAAAGAAAATTAAATATTTAATTTTGGGTCACATGAACTATATTTGTTAGAATAAAACTTTGAAATATTTGTTTAGTTCTGAAAAGTTCCGTTTTTTTCCTCTCCTGTTAAAATAATGACTATGTTAATGCAGTCTACCTGCTTCAGATTTTATAATTATGTCTATTAGCATGAATAGTACGACCTACAAAGAATTTTTATTATAATTTATTATTTATCCCTTCTTCCCCTGTTTTTGTTTTTTTTTTTTTATGTGAAGAGAGTTTACTTTTAAATAGATGGGCAAGATTATCAAGCATTAAGATTGTTAAGTAACTCTTCTGATATCCATCCTGATACCTAGTTTGTGGTAGCCAAGAAGCTGACCCAAATTAAGAATATGCAAAATTTACAACTGTTCTCATCAAATTACTAAATGTGTTACGTGCAAAGTTGCTTTCTGTTCATTACAAAAGCTTTCTTTTTTAATTTTAATATTTTTTTTTTTTTAATCTGTTTGGGACACATTTTCCTCTTTGGTTAACCTACCTCTTACTGGGATAAAAAAGGCATTGTCCTCTGCTGGAAGAGTGATATGATGAGGAAACCACTTCTGCAGGAGACAAGCTTGTGGTCAATTTTCTCTCCACGTACAAGCAAGAAAAAAGCTTTCTGTGAAGGAGAATTTGAAATAAGGTTTTCATGAATCATTGTTTGCTGGACATGTCAGGGAAATCTAAATTAAGGAAGGCATCCTTTCACTTAGTTAAGGAAAACCACAGTTCATAATTCTTTCAGAAACACACAATGGCCAACTTTGTACAATTTAGATAGTGAAAGCCAAGACAGATTAGATTAAAAACTGGCTAGTTGTATTTTATAATTCTCCAGGAAGAGTTTTTTATGAGAATTGGAAGGGAAAAACTTAACTGCAGCAGAACTGATCAGAAATTTTTGACTGCATGGTTTTTCATTGGAAAGGTTAAATGCTCAAAACCTAACTTTTTATAGAAATTCAAACGTTTCAAAGAAATTACTTTTGGAAAACTTCATTATGTCAGAAAGGGATTTCAGAGTTTGTTATAATTAGACAAAAACTGCAGAGATCAAGAGTCTGGCCAATGTCCCGTCGCCCTGAGGCACAGCATAACAGGCTTCCAATGTAAAACATGTATGACATGAAACATGAACACAGATTTGCTATATTCCAGGTGAATGTCTTAATGAAAGGGTACATATTTAATGTTGGTTTTTTTTTTTTCTTTCTGAAACAATTTTGTTATTGTTACAAGCTTAATTGTACAGCTGATGTGAAATAGTCTGATGGTGTGACATTCACCAGAAATACAGGAGGCTGGGAAGCAGTTCCCAGCCCCAAAAAGGCCAGAACAGGAACTTTCTCTCCCCTCTTTCAAAAAGACAGCGAGGTACCCTAGTTAATCAAATAGTCATAATTATTACCAATTGCTAATAGTTTAAGTGAAGTTGTTACTATGTCCAAGATGTCTCTAAATTTCCTTAATTCATTAGCTTATATCTTCTTACAATAAACTGGTCTTTCACCACTCTTGACACTTTGTGTTTCTGAGATTTTTTTTTTTTAAACTTTAAATTTAGGAAAGGTGAACATAGAAATCTGAGGGAAAGATGTTTACCAAAACCAAAACAATTATCTGAAGGATTATGTCCTGAAAACTTATGTTTTACTTGCATCTAGATCTGGAACCAAACTTTGTGGGAGTAATGAATTATAAAGCCTTCAATGATGAATTTAAAGCCTAAAAATTTTCAGAAGTCTTGGAAATATTTGAAACATTATAGATAATGAATAAAGTGAATCTAATTTTGCATTTTAACAGTATTCAAATATATTGTTATTTCATTTACGTTTGAACTTCATAATCACCATTTGAATCAAAAACAGCTATTCAGGAAGGTCTGGCAGGACATGAAAAAACAAACAAGTCTCATCATTAAGTTTTGATGGTTCATTATAATTATTTATTAGTTCATCCCTTAATTCCAACTAACTCCAACTCAGTATTGTTCCCTGAATTGGTATAAAATTCTGAAAAATTGAGAAATATTACTAACATTTTACTTAAAGTCAGGTAAAGATTGGACCAAATTTTATTTTCATTGAGTTCATTCGTGCCTTATTACTAGGAATATGAGAACATGCAAGTCCATATGGATGGGAAACAAAGGAGTCAGGCACTTGCAACTTCATTACTCAGCCTCAAAAAATACAGTACACTTCTAGATAATTTCCTCTGAACATTCTTGATTGGCAAACAGATTATGGCTTAGACAGCCCCATACACTAAATGCATCAAGGGCAAAATTTGTGTTATTACATCTACATCCAATACATATCCATACTGGGGTGTAAGAGAAAAAATATTTGCAGAAAAAATTGAACTCTTGACAGAGAGAAGAAAAATGGGGGAGTTGAGCAAGCCTTTTTTAGTGCTTAAGTTAAAGTAAGTTAAATACATGCTGAGAATAATAACTCTATTCTAGGCTTGACTGTGATAATCAATTAGCCAGTTGGAGAGAAAAGGGCAGTTATTATGGGAGTGGAATATTAGCAGAAGGAAAGTGATAAAGGCTGTCAGCTCTATGAGTTACAGATGGTGACATGAAAGTTAGCTCCTGCAGAACTATAATCAGGGAACATAAAAATGTTTGTATATGCCATGGAAATAACATCTCTTTTTCAGTCCATGCTTTTTAGAGACAGCACAAAAACTAATGCCAAAGCTATCTTTTGCAGATGTTTTAAGAGGTTGAAGAAAGAGTAATTACTTTGAAGAGGTTTTTTTCCATAGTCCTTTGCTGACTCTCTTTGTGAGCTCATTTGGATGCATAGCTCTAGTTTCACAGATGATGTTGGATGTATTAGCTGAAGAATGCAGCATTCTGGCATGCACAGGTTTAAATCTGCTGGATTTAAATAGTTCTTTCAGCACTGGGGGCATTTTTTTCAGTGGCTGTAGACAGATGATGGCAGGATTTACTTATACAGAAACTAAGAAATGGTCCTGAGATATCATAAGACTTTCATCATGCAGATTGAGCTCTTTGCTAGGAAATAATGATTTTCCAAATTCTTTTAGCCATTATGGTAATCACTGGATTTCTCTATGGAAACACTCAACAGCCAAAGCACAGAAGGTTGCTTTCAGTTCCACTAAAGCTGGTTCACAGCACTGAATCAAGTTTCAAATTGGACCTAGAGATAATCACTAAAATTAAAATTTGAATACATAAGTAATGGGTAGAGCATAACAAATAAACACCACAGAAACCCAGGTGATGCAATAAAATGTCTGCTCTTGATGTAGCAGTCTTGGTTCTGCAGTTCTTTCCATGCTGGTTTATATCATCCAACACATGGGAAATCAGGTGCTTCCTGACAATTGAAGATCATCAACACTTTCAAAACAAACACATGAGTTTCTGTAGATTCATGCTACCAAAATATTAGGGCTCTTGATTTATGGAAATAGATTTTGATCTAACTTCAGACAGGGAGGCACTTCAATGTGTCTTTTTAGCTCAAAAGGGTCAAATCCTTAGTTTATATCAGATCAGAAAGAAATCAGGATAACAAAGAAAAGATACAAGGTAGCCATTAATCTCATCTAAATTTGGTTGTCTGTAGTGGGAAATACCTATATCTGAGGTAATAACCTCCTTGAGCTCCTTTTATCATAAATGAAGACGAAATAGGTAACTTTGGTACTCTAAACAATTAGCTGAGATGTCAATGCTTACAGTGTAAATGTTTACAATTATTTAGGTGAATTCTACTCTGAATTGCTTTAACATGTGACAGTAAGTGATGATGTAATGCCCCTAAGTCTGAGTTGATTTCTGTGGCTTCAAATCAGCAATCTGCTTAACAGTATCCTAATTTTAAGCAGATAAATAGTCTTATTGAAGTCAGTGGTTATTCACATAGCAAAGGTACATTCCAATGCTTTGCCAATGTGAATAATGTGACACATATGTTTTTCTTGCAATAACTCTACTACATCACTGCAGTGATTTCTCTGCACAGTGGAATGAATGTTTTCAGAAAGCTCTCTTAAATGTTTAGGATTTTGGCATTTTTGTAGCAGATGCTGGTAAATTACCAAGATTCATATTCTTTCCTGTTTCATAATAATATTAAAATCCAATAAAATATAACTCAATGTTTTGACTACTGCATTAATTAAACACTAATGCTGGTTCCATCCCTTAGAGTTCAAATATAATTATAGACATGCTAAATTTTTCCCATTCTTCATATAAAAAAAGATGAGACCAAATAGCAATATGTCACCAAAGCAGTAAAGGTCTTTTTAACTATGTGACAGACACTTCAACACATTCACCAACTATCTATGTCATTTCTAATCCTTGAATGCATAGATGGCCCTAAGAAGTTATGAGTGTACCTACATTTTTCAATTGTTTTGTAACTTTGATTTCATGGAATGAGTGTAGTTTAAACTGTAAATGCTTTACCTGGATTAAACTCTCATCTCAGCTGCGAGAGGAGGGCTCGGTTATAGAAAACTGCAGCCTTAAATTGGAAATTGTGAAGAAGGAAATCTTGCCACTGAGGTGTTTGATGCTCTGTTTTGACCTCAGTGGGCAGCTGACCAGAATATGAAATTCTGGGCTCAGCAGCAGCCCTGGCCCCTTGGGCCATGATGGGGGAGAGCTGCCAAGAAGAGGGCATCCCATCTCCACTGCTGCAATGGAGGGGCAAACTGTTCAGCTGGGTGAAAATTAAACATGTGCCTTAGGTTTCTCATTAACTCCCAACGTAGCCTGTGGTGGGCTAAAAGCTTGGCCTTTTCTCCACCAGGTAAAGAACAATGTTTTGCTTGTAGTTAACTTCCATATCAGTCAGCTACTCAGTCCATTGAGATCTTCCCAAACAGGCCTCCCTGTAAACTATTTTTATACCAAGATATCCTGTAGCAGTCTTTACAAAAATAAATGAACTAGTGACATTAAGCTGAAAGGTAAGCAAAGGTGTTGAGTGTTAAACATATTAAGAGCAGGGGAAAAATCTGTTAATCATTTTATTAATGTTTTCTTTTCTGCCGAAATCCTTGAAAATGCTTGTAATTCTTTGCAGCTGACAGGCTGCTGATTTTGCAGAAAGAAGAGGTTTTTGAGTTCCTTAACTGTAAGTCACAGTTGTTCCTTGTTTTGACTGTTGGAGAATTAGTTCAATAACCTCCCAAATAGTAAGTGCCTGTGTTCTTAGAGCTTAAGTATAAGAAGGTCTGCATCTGAGAATAATTATAGTTAAGCAAACACTACATTGAAACACAAGCTTAATGAGTTGCACTGAAACAGTGTAAGGGACTGTCAAAGTCATTTTGCTGCTGTATGGATTTTTACAACACTGTTACCTCACTTATTTGAAGGATTCCCCTCTTTCATACTCACTAAGTGACATTCAAGCATTCCCAGGTTTGTGGGAAGTGGCAGCAGGGATGAGGCTTTGAGTCTGTGATCTATTCTGTCCTTTTACTGTGCCCATGGCAAAATCCATGAGGCCAGTCCCAAGGTGTGCACTCTGTCTAGCACTGGTGCTCTCTTGAGGACTGTCGTCATGGCTGACAACTTTTCCAAACTCTAATGAGGAAGCTCCTGCTAGCCTTCAGTTGTGCCAGGGAGATTTAGATTGGAAATCAGGAAAAATTTCTTCACCAAAACAGCTGTCAAGCATTGAAACAGTCTGCCTGAGGAAGTGGTTGGTCACCATCCCTGAGGTATTTAAAAGACCTCTAGATGTGGCACTTATGGACGTGGTTTAGTGGTGGACCTGGCAGTGCTGGGTTAATGGTAGGTCTTAATGATTTTAGAGGTATTTTCCAATCTAAATTATTCTATATTTATATCATTCTATGACTTTTAGTCTTCCTCTGATGCACGTCTCCAAGCAGACTGGATATTCCCTATTTTGAGAGGATAGGCCCCACAGGCCCGAGTCCACCAAGACACCTCCTGCAAGATGTGCTGCAGAGCAGCAGCTTTCTCAGCCGAGCAGCTTTCTCAGCGAGGCCAGTTTCTGTGTCCTTGCTCACCTCTCAGAGCATGTGGGTCACCAGGCAGACCAGAAATGGAAACTGGGCAACAATCCCTCTGCAGCAAGGAATAGAAAGTTTCCCAGGGACACGATTCCTACCAAATCCCTGAGGCTTTTTTGACTTTCCTAAGCAGTGTGCTGAATCACCTGATGTTCCTGGGCTTGTCAGCTGCCCCAGATCTGAGTAGCAGTTGGTTTTGTGACCTGCAGGCAAAAAAAGCCATTTGCCATTTTGCATGGTCATACTGGTCTCCACCACTGAGCCTTCTTCCCTTTCTCTCGAGCTTTTATCCTCTTCTTTCCCTTCACCTTCCAAAGCAGTGAAAGGTGTAGCGACAGCTCAAAAGTGAATAAGGGAATGTATCTTTCCCTTCCCACCAAGAGCTATTGCTTGGTAGACCTGGCAGTGTTAGGCTAATGGTTGGATACAATGATCTCAGCATAGTTTTCCAACCTTCACGATACAATGATTCTATAGGAACAAGAAATTGCATCTAAATTCTCACAGTAAAAATTAATTTGATAAATTGATGTAATATTTTGGATACTTTTGGTCTTGTTTTGATTTTCTTCACAATTTTATCATACCAAATGCATATTTAAATTTTGCTGTGTGTGCTTTTGTGAAGTGATAGGCAGACTGAGATTCCCATACAAAAAAACCTATGGCATTTTTCATTGTCTAATGTTTGATGCTGACGGAATCACTCAGGCAGCCTCTTTTTTTTTTTTTTTTTGAGCAACTCCTTCCAGAGACACTGACAGAACAGAACAGAGTCCAGGGTTTCAGGTTACAGAAATCTGGAATAGCTGTATCACACAAAGAGCATTCGTAGACTTCCTATGCTGTTTGAAAAGCAGAGGCCCTTAATGTATTATACTTGAATGAATAAAGTTAGATAAGCCTTATCCTTCCCGATATAAAATAAGCAAGCAAAAAAAAAAAAAAAAGTCAAAATAAAAAAATATTTTTTATAAAATCATCCTTATTGTGCAGTGTGAGCATGTTTTCATGTTTATCTGAGGACAATGTTAAACTTGGATAATGAACTGTATTAAAACCTTTTAAAGGCAAGATAACAATATAAGGTCAGGTAGTGAAAAAATCAAAGAATTTAGTTTTATTTTCTCCTCTAATTTTTATGAACCAAGTACAAAAGTTAACCTTTCAAATATACTGTGGTCTATAGTACATATTTTTTTGCTCCGTCCTCATTCTTACAATCTGAACATTTTGTTATTCTGTGAGTCAGCTGTGAATAGCTGCAATATCAGAGACTGTGGTCTGGACCTGATGAAATAAATGATGAAATGAATTATGAGATTGAAACAGACTTGCACCATCTTTTTTTCAGCTGCTTTTTAAACTTTTCTAATGTAAATTCCTTTTATTACATCTGAATCAAACATCATTATGTATTATGCAGTCTCAGATAAAACATACACCTTATACCAGAAAAGCAGTGTTTAAAAAAATATTTTTTTTTGCTACTTAAAGTATAATTACCTTGTCAGTCTTAAATAGCTCATTCACTACAATCTCTTCTACACTCCCAATTTTCAGGGAAATTACTGGGTTAATTCAGGTCAATGCCTTTAAATTAAATCTAAGAGCAACAGGAGCAGAGAAGAAGTAAACAGGAATTAAGTACAAAGCAGACAGTTACAGCAACATATAGGAATTATGTAGGGTTTGCCAGAAATACCAATCTCATGTGGAGACAGGAAGAATTACTGCAGGGTACATATCCTCACAGGGAGAGAAATGGAATAGAGTTCCTATTTCCAACAAAGAAGACTGGAAGACTGAACACTGCAAGAAAAAAAAAAAAAAAAAAAAACCTATTTAAACCCAGGATTGAACAAAGACATGATCAAAGCTGCCAGCAGCCCTGAGATAGTGACCGCACAGTTTTAGGACCAGTCCTATACCTGTTTTAAACACAACTGCCTTGTTTCCCACACAATCTCCCCATGCCCTGTGGAATTCATGTCTGTTTTCATGTCTATTGGGCATGGGCAAAAGCCAAACTGCTTCAGTTTATGTTGGCATCTCTCCACTTTGCAATGAGAATGCAAAATCAATAATCTTCTTATAGTCTTTCTGTACTTCACTGGACTTTCACAGCTGACATCTTTTGCAACGGTATTATAGACTGAGAAGTATTTAGAAATTTTAGTTTCCTGGTTGTAGGAGAAAGAAGTGAAAGTGGGTTTTCCCTGTGGAAAGCCTCATGCACAGGATGCTTAAACTTGACACAAAACCAAAACAAAAGTGTGGATGTTAGTGGTATAAAAGACATGCGCTGGGAGATGAGCCCAGCTTAGAAAGAATCATTCCTTTTCAGAGCAGACAGACCAGGCTCAGTTTCTGCTTAGTGGATATCTCTCTAGACATGGCATTAGTGACATTGAGAAAGCAAACACACCAAAATTATCGCTAAATTAATTAATATGCAGTTAGAACATTCTTAATTTCAGCAGTGTTACCTGACTGGTGCAGGATATTTTGGAGCTAGAGATTGCCTGTCTGTATTTAGTTATACAAAGTTCAGAGTGAGATATGCAATGTATAATCTAGTCCTTCTAAAACTTAAGCAGTATATAATGATGGCTGAAAACAACATTCAATCAGTCCAGAGAGAGCTATGCCTTTTTTATAAGTCCTGCAAAACCATTGGGAGTGCTTTGTTTCTCAAATATAGACTGAATTTTAAATTTAGAAAACAATCCCTGTCATATTAATATTTTTTAATATGTTTCCAGTGAATTCAGGCAGCTTTGAGTAAAGCTTCTGAGACGAGGTGTTGGCTGTCCTGTTAAACCTGAAGAAATTTGTGAAACAGATGAAAGAATCAGAAAAAGAGATGCAGTCTCTTGAAATGGAAGGGAATAGAAGTACCTCTCTAGTATCAAGTATGATGTGAACTGAACCTAAACATAAGGGGCAACCACATCTGTTTTGGATAGTGGGCTTTAAATGACCCAGGTATGAAGTTTATAAGTGCCACCTTACTGACTTAGTTTTTTGCCTGCCTTCTGTTTACAGAGATTCCTTATAACTTCACCAACAGTTGGATGTAGACTTATTAAACAGTCTTGGTCGTGTATTCTTACTCAGAGACAGAATGCAAACACTAGATGGTTCCTGCAAGATTTGGGATGGGGAGACTACAATAAGTTTTATCTTTCCCCAGTTTTCTCTTATCTAGGCTGAATATATTTGCTATATTTTCTCAAATACGTTTCAATCTAAGTATCTTTTTTATCTGTCTTCAGCTGGTTTTGACTCTATCCAGTTGGGTACCTTGTTTTATAGCAGTGTAGTCAAAACTGGATTCAAGCTGAGGCCTTATGTGTGCAGGATAAAAAATAACTACCTCCTCTGTGTTAAGCCTGTTGCTTGTTAACAGCATCACATTTTTCACCTGGACTTAGTTTGTGATCCACTCTAACCTCCCTGCCTCAACCTTTTCTTTTTTCTAGCATGTTGCCTAGGTAGTTATTCCTGATTTTCTGTTTGTGTGTTCAATTTCCTCTCTCAACTGTTGCCTTTTTTTTAAATTTCAATTTCACCATGTTGCTTTTGGATTATTTCTCCAATTTGTCAGGATCAGCTTGAGCAGCAACCACAGCTTCCCATGTGCTTCTAAGCTCTGTGTGACTTACAAATGGCACGAGTCTCTGTACTGTCATTCATGTATTTAACGAAAGTAAGGAATAGAAGAAGGTGCTGCAGAAATGTGTTGCCAATTTGTGAGAGAAATGTTGACAACTTCTCTTTGAGTATTTTTTTTCAATCACTTGTGCATTTATCATAGAGTCATTTGTTCAAGAAAGTATTTCCTTCTTTGGCTGAGGAGAATATCATGCAACACCACGTCAAAAAAACTGACCAGACCAACTGGAAGAGATTACTACTTTCAGGATATCCAGCAGCCTCTTCCAAAGGGAAAGCAGGTAAAATACTGTTTTATACCTTGTATTTGCTCTCCATTTTTTTCTTTTTTTCCTCATTTATGTTATTTGCCTGTTTCTCTTCCTCCTCTCACAGTTCAGTGGGCTGCACTGTACTGAGAATGGTCTTGTGAACTTCAGGGAGACCAGGACCTTGGCATGTTTTGCCAAAGCCTCGAGCAAACTGTAATGCAAGAATCATGAGTAAGGAACTTCTGCAATTGCCCAGAGAAGTGTGGCTGTGAGAGTGTTTAAAGGGAAAGCAGACCAAGAAACAAAGCCACTGTGTAAAATAAATGTTTCTTGATATTTAGGTATTTGCTTTTGATTTTTGCATTATTGTGTGACATGTTTATATTTCATGCGATATATTGTGTTTACTACTGATTTAACTGTCTCCTAAATGTTGTCTCAGTCCTGTCATTCCCTGTCCAAGAGCCAAAGGAAAGGTGAATTCAGTGAGAGGAAGTGTCAAAAAGTGCATCTGATGAAGAAGACCTGCCTTCTGTAAAATATGACATGATTCTGTGGAAACTGCTGCCACAGTTTACAGTGACCATGGCTGTTGTGGGCTATCTGACTCACACGTAAGTAATAAGGAGACAAACTTCATATGAATGGTGATACATAGCAGTTTTGAAAAAACTATTTAATTTAATGTCCCAAGAATTGGAAAAAATATTAGTCTTAAGAATTTAAGAAAGAGAAGACTACTGCTGACTAGAGAGCTTTCAAAATGTAGCTCTGGTTTAGATGAACTTTGCTTCAGATCTGGTATAACAATTCTGCTTCAAAGGTCCCCCAATAAGCACTGTGATGAAAATTATTAATAAACTCATAAATGCCTCATTTTACCCTAAGTGTAAAAAAAAAAAAAACAACAAGTAGCATAGAACCAAATTGGTTTTCATTCCTTAGGGTAAGCCAATTGCCTGAGCCTTGGGCTCTGGGTCCTGGTTTTGTTATGTCCTTGCAAGTAGGGCTGGCATCGTCTGGCTCTGCTGGCTGGCCGTGTGTGCTGGGCAGCCCCAGCAGCTCTGCCTGCCCAGGGAAGGTTCTTGGAGCAGCTGCATGTGGCTCCTGAAGACAAATCCTTTTCTGCCTTTTCTTGGGGAGAAATTGTCAAACTTTTCAAAAGTGCCTGGCTATTCATCAGGTAAACTGGAGATAATATGGGATGATTAACTTCCCTCATCCCCAGAAATATTCAAGAAGAAAAAGAGTTCAATAAATCAAAACATGTGACTTCTCTGAGGTTTCAGTGCTATAACTTAAAATCATGGCTTGGTCTTTATTCACAAAGGAATTTTTGACATTTCCAAGGTTATCAATGTTTCAGATGTTGTGGAAAGGAATAGCTGAAGGAATGTTGTCCCACATTTTGACCAGATGCATTTTAAAACAAGTTCAAAAATACTTTTGCATGTTTATTCTCTGAGAATAAACTTTATTTTCTACATGGCAATAACAGAAATGAACTCAAGGAAATTACTCACATATGTCAAGAACGTAATGTGCCCCTTCACTTTCAAAGGGTTGGCATCAGTGTAAATTATTGCTTACAGGTGCTAAGTAACCTCTTTGATGGTTTTTTTTATTGGCTGACTCAGATTTCGTAGGAAGATAAAAAGCTACTGTAAAAGAGTACTTATTTAATTAAAAAGAACTAAGGATTTTCATAGCAAAGAAATGGGTGTGGATGGGTGATTGTTTTGGTTTTTGATTTGTTTTTGGACCAAGACTGAAAATTTTTTACCAAGTGTTCTCTCTACCTTTCATTTTCTCATTGCTATTTCTACCATGTGGTTGAATGTAACTTTTGTCTGAATAAAGACTATTACACAGATTCCTTTTTCAGTTAACACAATAGTGATATTTAGAAATTGTGTAGGCACTAGCTTGTGATTTTAAATCCTTCATGTAATACAGTCCTTCAGATGTACTCATTTGAGTTGTATCCTACATCCTATTTCTTACTTTCTGCAAGTTCAGTGGAAATGAAACTTCAATCAAATTTAATGCACATGGACATATTCCAAGAAGATTCTTCCTTTTATAGTATCAAAGTGATCATCAAAAAGGCCCAATTTAAATAACTTCTCCTCCAAATTCAAAATTTGTTAACACGTTTGAAAGTGCAAAAGGCAAAAGCTAATTCTGAGCTTGTTTCAAATAGCAGTAAGTTCTCATCAAATTAATTGCTTTCCTTTGTAGTGAAGTAAGGATAGATAAGAAAATCACTTCATGAATTTCATATCTCCAAAACAGATTTGCAACAAAGCCTGTGATTCTTTCCAAGAATTTTTAATGGAAAACTCCAATAAATTTACGTTTTCTCTCTCCCCTCTCTAAGACAATATTCTCCTTCTTCCCTAAAAAAAAGAGCACAGAAAGTCCTGCTGCTGGTTTGCATTATAATAAAGCACCCAGACACATAATTTTATCAACTGTTAGTATGCCTTTAACAAATCACAATTAAATATTAACAGCCTGTGGAGCAGCATGGAGGGCTCTGCAATCCTTTGAAGGTATATTTGCCAATTAAACAAAGTTTGACATTAGACTAAAGGTGGCAAGGATCCAAACCAGAGAAATGAAAGTCAACCACTTCAGTGGCATTCATTAGCTAAACAGACATTCTTTGTGTGGCCTGTTTCTTTGCTACTGCCAAATCCACACCCTGTTCAGGAACTTACCCAGGCTCAGATAAGCTTATTATGGAAATAACACTTTGTCACCCCTTACAACTTGCTTCTTGTTAAATTATCTTTTATCTTCTTTGTAGTATTTGTCACCTTTCCTTGGGTGCCCCTTGTGTGGCCAAATGGTATTGTGATTAATTTGGAATAATCAGGTTCTAAAGGTTAATTTGAATTAAAAGGACAATATTTTGAAGATTCCCTCTTCAGTACCATCACACAAGAATGGTTATAGAGAGACATTTTTGTACATACATTGTGTTAGGATTTTTGGCAATGTGTGAAAGTTTAGGTGCTAGTTTGGGTCATCTTGTAGTAGGTGCTCATGTGGGAGAGCACAAATTTTCCTGAAAAGGAAGATTTGGATGGGAATTCTCTAGCTTCTACATGGCCTGCCCAAAATTTTGTTTCTACTGCAAACCCTGTGCTGAAACAGCAGAGAAACAGCACTAAACATAGTGTTACCTCTGCATACTGAGAGCAGGAGAGGGAAAAAAAGCTTTTCCACTGCTCTTTTTTCTGCTGGCTGAGATAAAAGCCAGAAAATCCTGGTGTGGGATGCTGAGGACCCTGGAAAAAGAGGCTGTGGCAGCCTTAAGTGTGCATCACCCAAGGAGCCTGCAGAAGGCACACAAGCTTGTGTCCCCTTTTCTTCATTCTGCAGCTTTAGAGTTACTCCACTAAAGACAAATTACTCTTCAAAGGCTTGGTCTAGCTTACACCTGTGCCTGGAACAATATCCACACAAAGAAAGATTTTTGCTTTTGTGCCTCAAAAAGATAAGAATATAGTAAGAGTGGAATTCAGTCTCCTCAGAAACAGTTTAAAGTCATTGAGCTAAAACTGAATATTACCATCCCTTCCAGGTCAGGGTAATGCTTGAGTATGGTTCTAGGATGGAGAAAGAAAGGAAGAAAACTAGGCTAGTTGTTCCCAGTAGAAGGTGCAGAAGCAGCCAGTACAAAGACTGTCTCCTCAAGTGACCCTACTTCTGTGGCAATAAGTAGTTTTGCACCAACTCTGAGCCCAGCCTTAGCACAGACACCGAAAACAGGTCCTGTGGATGTCAGTGGTGACAAAACATGCACACCAGGACTGTTTTTCTGTGTTCGTATGCATATGTTGCCTATGCATACTGTTGCAGTCTGTTGCTGAGATTACATTTCAATACAGAGTTGTCCAATCCTGTGGTGCTATGCACACATCTTAGGTGACATTCTCAGCTCTGCAGATAAATACTTTTTAAAATCTCTTTCAGTGCTGGAGCACTGCATTTCATTTCACTCATCGTCCCTCACAAATGCAGAGAAACAAAATATTCATCACTAAGTAACTGCAAAAGACTGGAGAGCCAAGTGAGGGGAGAGAAGTAATTTCTTGGGCAAATGCTTAAATGACTATCATATTTTGAATGGTTCCTTGTATTAGTCATATTAAAGCTGATACCCTAGTTTGTGCTATTTTATTATGTATTGGTTTATTTCTAGGATTTATGTCAGAAACTGTATTGGCACAGAAATTTTTTTCTACATTCTATATTTTTGTCGTATATATGCCTCATGTATATTCATTGTAGTCACACAAATTTTATTTTCCATATACAAATAGAAATGTAGCTTTCACCAAAGGAAGAAAGAACAAGAATATCTCAGGGTTGAATTGGTCCACTTAGACCTCATAGGCAATACTGAAATACGCCTCATTCACTGATATTACTGCTCATATCTCACATATTACTTCAGTTTCACTGTTTAAAAAAAGGCTCTGTTTAGTGTTCCATGTACAGGAAAAATCCTCGCCCCAAGTCACAGGAGTGTTCTCTGCCTGAGACAGATATGAGAGAAAGGGCATTAAGAAACAAGCTTTCTGTGTGAGCATCAGGATGAAAACATCTTATTTTCCTTGCTCCAGTAAAGCACACTTCCTCTGAAGTTCCCAACCCAGGACCTCAGCAGGTGCCTATCTGCCTCAAAGTTGCTGGAGCTGTGCAGATTTGCACAGTGAGTGTTTTTTTTTCTAATCTGCTGATTTTGACATCACCCTTACTGCTGATTTAATGAGCCCAGTGTCATAAATAGGATTACAGACCCCAGAGGTCTAATTCTCAGCTCCTTAATACACTGAAGAGTAACAGTAACTATGGTAAATAATTGCCTCAAATCAAATCAAAATTACAGCTTTAAATATGAATGCCGGAAATGTTTGCACAGTGATCTGTTCCGTGGAAATCTCTTGCCTTTATCAAGCTCCCAAAGGAAAAAGATGGCACCCAAGGAGCAAATGTCAACACCACAAATGCTGCCTTTGTGAGAGTTACACAGAAGGCAAACCTGAGGTCAGCTGCAATCAGCTGAGACCGGTGGTTGTGAAGCAGGGATGTGGCCAAACTGTGACTGTTCTCTTCCAACAACTGCTTTTTTTTACCTTCTGGACTTGGGTAAAATCAGGATCTAATTCATAACATACAGATGTACCGCGAAGTTCTCAGAGTGTGATGGGAATTCAATAGATGCTTCAGGAAGCTAAATAATTATCTGGAGACTTAGAGCTTGTTCTGTGTTTGCTTTATGACTCTAATTTTCAGATATGGCCTGACTTCCAGGATATCTACATGGGATATTTGGTCGCCTGGGTAATTATAACAAATATTCTGCTTTTATGTTGCTATTCACATGTTTAAATTCAGTTTGTAAATGAGGGCGTTTTATGGAAATGGAGATACAGTGAGGCCATTTGCTAATAACCCAAGATGAGCAAAGCAGGAGACTCAGGTCTCCTGTCTCTTTTCTCAATCACATTGTCTTTTACAATCATCAGCCAGTTTTCATCAGTTGTAATTTGGGCTGGCATTAGTGAATGCAGTCTGATTTAAGATACATAGATGCAAA